TCAGACCTGTTGTGTCCTCACTGGTTGACAGATTCTCTCTGATGCGACGCACTATTTGATCTTCTGAGACACCGGCCCCTTCGCTGGGATAAAAGATATCATCCCCTTTTCACACAATAGGACTTTCTTGACTGCGGCAATTTGCATAAACTGAGCCATGCAGGCATTTCCTGTTCCCTGTCTTTTCTGCTTTTATGTCTTTTTAATGCTTTCCTTGTGTCCGCCCCCACCCTGGAAATATCAGTGCAGCTACATCTGGCCCACTCACCATTCTTTCCTTTTCCACAGGACTTTAGGACGGCCCTGATTTATATCAAAAAGGCTTGTGTTTTTTTGGACCGGAGGGGGGACAGGGTCAAAGTCTCTGAGCTTTCCACCAATCTCTTTTATCTGATCAGTGTGTTGAGGGTTATGATACCACTTTCATTGGCGAGTCTGCTTGAGGAGCATTCGAGCAGGATGGAAATAATTAGGTTACACGTCTAGCCTCTCATTCCACTACCCTCCCCGAAAACAAAAGCCCTTATTGAAATGATCGCACACTTACCTCACAGGGAGCGGCATCTACCTACGCATTTATTCCCAAAGGCACAAAAAGCAGAGTGTTTAATCAAAGGCGAGCTATTTCTAAAGCGGATGGTTTTCTTCTCCTCTCATCCCCGCCCAGCTTCACTTGTACGAGAACAACATTCACTGCTGTTTTAAAAAAAAAAAAAAAAAAAAAAAAAAAAATTTGGACTGTCAAGTTCGATAGTAATCTTGCGACACATGGTGCCTCAAATATAATGGACGTAGCGATAAAGAGCTGCCCTCTCAAGAGAATGCACCGTCTTGTGTTTGGCTTTATGCAGTTAATTGTCTTTTGTACAAAAAACACACTACGATTAGTTATTTATAGTTTTTTTGTGTAATTCTGTGCAGATTTAGAAGCCATTTCAAATATGTTTTCATGTGAGAACCCAAATTGCAGCCTGATATTAAAATTGCACTTTTTCCAATATTTGTATAGCCTTGCTGCTTTTTTAGTGAAAAAAGTTGAACAGAAATGGCAAAAATGGCAACTACTCAGATAATTGATTCATTTTTTAGATGTTTGACATACATTGTTTGGTCCCAGCCTGTCCTGTCTGAGCATTTATTTCATATAATATCGTAAATTGAATAACTGAGGTTCACTGTCGGTCAAACAAAACAATTTGAACAACATCTACATGTCTTTCTGAGGTATTTTGATGGGCATTTAAAAGCTAAAAAACTCATTTCTATTAAGTATGAAACATAAATTGCAGCTCTAAACTATGAATTTGGAAAACAAAATGACCTTTAAGTAGGATCCTCGTAAAATTCTGATTTCAGAGCTGACTTTTGTCAGCTGGTATATTATTCCACTCGCACAATGTTTCTTGGCAGCTTGTCAGGTTTCTCACTTTGAACCAGCTGGTATCGATGGCATATTTATTACATCTAATCCCTTTGTGATTATGATTGAGAGTCACAGCAGGTATGAGAAAAGCAGAGCTTTGTCAGCTCACTGGGGAAGTCATTAATCTCAAGTCTGTCATCAGACTTTGTTTTCCCTCGAAGGTGTGCGTCCCTAAAGCTTGTGTTAATATCTGAGTTTGTGCACCAAGCTTTTTTTTTTTTTTTTTTTTTTTTTTTTTTTTTTTTTTTATGGCATAAATTCTGTTATATGTCAAAGTTACAAGATAATTAGCCTCTTTTTCCAGTCGCATTAGTTGTAATAGTTAACCTTTGGAAACAGAGCAGGACTGCGGTTGCTCATTAGGACATTTGTTCCTCCTGCTTATTACCACTTTGGTATTTTGTGTTAAAGAGCAGCAGGCAGCTCACCAAGTGTAATTGGGTTCATAAGAGGTGTGTAATGAAGCCATCAGATTGCGAATAGATTTTCTTTTTTTGTACTTTTATACACTCAAGTCATTTACAATGTGACTGAGCTCACAGCAGCACGCATCACCAGATAAGCCCAACCCATCAACCAGAAAACAAAATGATGCAATAAACAGTCAGTCAATCAATCAAATGGTCATTTAGAAAATGTATTCGGTGCAATTAAGGTAATTGGGTAATTATTCAAGTTGTTTCTCAAGAAGAAAGCCATGCACTCGCTGTGTTTCTAGGTTGTTGTAAACTAATTGTCTTTGGGTTATGGGCTGTTTTTCAGAAGATATCTGAAGATGTCTCGTTGGGCTTCAAAGACATTTTACTGGGCATTTTCACACATTTTCTGAAATCTCTAAAGTTTCTGTACATAGGATTCAGATCATTAATATAGCAACAAACGACTAGTTGCAATTAGTGGATCACAAAACTCGCTGTTCAGATCGTATCATCGTGTAGAGTCACGAAACTCGTCGGCTGGAAAAAAAAAAGAGTAAATATAACATTTAGAGATCCCGATCACGTTTTTATTTTTATTTTTTCCGCTGACATGGATTGATGAGCGATGAGCCATGTTTGCTGATGCAGCTCATACTTACCCATTTCTACTATATAGAACTATTTCAAAGTTGGGATTGTTTTCCTCTCACAAGCCTTTAATCTAAAAGATGAACGTCATTCACCACACGAAGCGTTTCCTCCCACGCTTACCTTATTCAAGTTGCTGCACACATAAGGAGTTGGAAAGACTGCGCAGACCAGGACTTTTACATGGTTGATCTTAAGCAGGAAACGGCCGGGCTTCCATTTCATGAAGGGGAATTAAAACGCTCATGAAGGGTTGTCTCCAGGTGGTTGCTCCGACCTGTCAGAAGACATTTCCATAAAGCGGAACCTTTCTTGACTGCTCACCGCCTTTTGGAGCCGTGAATTGAACAGGCTGTCTCACACCTTTTAAAAGTTTGATTCCATATGTGTGAAGGATTTTTAAAAATTGTAAAATGACCCTGCCATGTTTATTGGCCTACTGCTCTGGGCTAATATTACACACTGACGCTCATTATACCAAATACATTTCTATGTAACGATTTTGCTTTTTGAGTGTCAGAAATGACATGTGACGAAATAGAAATCCCAGTAAATGACGGTGTCAACAAAGCAGTTGGATAAAGATCCTTCAGCAGTGGATGCTCGCTGTTGCTACAGTTGAAGACTATTCTGCAGAATAACACAAAGGCAACAATGGTGCCTGTGTTTTTTTGGGTGTGGCCCATCTTTTCAGCTCGTTTCTGGGAACTAAACAGAAGGGAGGATGAAGGATTTTGTCAGTCCTCTGTCCCTCATTTGAAATTGCCTGTCATGTCTGCAAACTCGGTGATCCTCAGACTCCATTTATCAAACAAAAAACATTTGGAACAGACACTTTGCTTGCTTTTCGTGCCTTTCCGGACTATTAAATCTTTGTTACCAAGCCTGTATATAATCTGTTGTTAGACCCTTATTTATATAAAGAAAACTTTTTGAAATATAACTAATCAACAATCTGACGACCTACAAATACCTGACCAATCAGACACAACCTTATATTCCGCATACTAGCCTCGTCTTTCTACAATTGCTCAGCGCATGCCCAGAAGGAGCATTCCTTGAAATTGTAATTAGGTTTCAAATGATCTGTATGTCCTCATAATATAATACATCAGATGGGATTCGAGCTGTGAACAGACAACCTTTACCACTTGCGCCTCCAGAGAGATAATTATATCTGAAAGTAAAAGTGTGCTCTTGTGTTATTTGAGGAATATTCCGTGCCCACTGTAGTATTTCTGAGAGTGAAGCTGGAGGTGTAAGGCTGACAGAAGTCTTAATGCCCGTGCTTCATGCTTTAGCAACCTGGCACACCTGTGAGCTTAACGAAGAGGAAGAGCGGAGACAATTAATACCAGCCAAATGCTCATATCATAACCCCACGCTGGTAACTGGCCCATTTTGACAGCTTCTTTTTTTTTTTTGCAGTCTAGCAGTCACTGCTCTCAGGTTTTTTGAATCTTCCAATTGAGTTCACTCGTGGGTGAAAAAGTAATTTTCCAGCAGTCCTTGGAGTTTCTCCCGTTGCTTTTACTTATTTTTACTGAAGCCAAAACAGGGAAATGTTCAGAATAAGATGGGAAAAAATAGCAGTAAAACGCTTGTAGTGTAATGCAATTTAATCCAATAATACCAACAAGATATAAGTTGTAGATCTTGTTTAGCCAAAGGGAGTTTAAAGTTGCTAATTGTTGTTAGAGTCCTCTCTCACTGTCCCGAATACCATTTTTGAGGCTTTGAAGCTTCACTGACAACGACTACAACACAAGCTTTACAAGATTACTGTATCTTCAAATTGCATACAAGTGAAGGCTTTTGTGTTGATGCAAGGCAACCAGGGACGACTGTAATAGAAAAAACATAATTTGTTTGCAACTCGTTGTTCACTACTTTTTTAGTACTGATGCCGTTATGAGAGGTTAAAGTGTGTATATTTGTTGCCAAGCAGTCAAGACGTAAGTATAAGTAAAACCAAAAAAAACCAGGTTTTACTGTTTGCAAAGATTGTTCCCACAAAGCACGGCTGGATAAAAGGAAAAGTGTTTGCTTGGGTAATAAGATGCCATTAGCAGGTATCTGTTTGGTTATCTTACTTATCTTCTCAGACATGATAAAAGCTCTTAACAGCTTTGTCTTTTGTTATTATTTCAATTAAACACAACCAATTTGCACATTAGAGATGTGTGCAGTTTTTGTTGGTTTTTGCTGCGTGGAACCGAAAGCTTAAGTGTTGTTTCTCTCCGCTCACAGCAATTCAGCCTTTAAGTGTGATTGCCAAATTAAGTCCTCCAAATAAATGACTTTAAGAAAATTAAAGGCAGGAATTGTCTGGAGGAATGCACTGTCAGCAGAGCAATGCTGAACGTATTAATAAAGTGTCACAGGGTCGTAAAGAAAACCAATCCGACACACTGACTGAAATGGAAAACATCTGCATGTTCTATCAATTCAATCAAACACTAATGAAACTAATGATTGATAGCGTATAATGTATCCGTCTTCTCCTGCAGGTACATGATGTTGATCAACGGGAAAAATGAAGTATTCATGATCGACAGAGACAACACCGTCTTCCACATGGCGAACCTAGAGTTTCCCTTCCGGAAGGACCCACGCGTCCACCTATCAAGTACTCTACTGGATGGGGTGAGTCATTGTCCTTCCTAATTCTTGTCTTCCTATTGGATTGCTATATATTGTGCCACATTGGCTTCTCTAGTTGCTTCCTAAAAAAATATCCCATAGCTGTCTCTCCCTTGACTGAAACCGCATGTCTCCTCCATCTCCAACCTTGTCACACTGCCGCCCCGCCGCACAGTCTTGCAGATAATTGACATCACTTGCCAAACCTTAGGTGAAAGAAAAGCATGTTTCAGTGTGCAGCAGAGCCTGTGAAAGACCCGTGTCCCGAAGAAACAGCTAGTGAAATGTTTTACGGTTTCCCTGTCACTCTTCCACGCTGTGTTGTTTTGTGATGCTCAGCGGGGAGAGGACGGGGGGTCGCTGACTTCTCCTCACCTGTAATACTCGACTCAGACTTGTATTGGCACACTTGTGCTGTTGAGGTCGCATAGCTCGCCGGCAGCAGCAGGTGCACACGCATGAGTCATTATCACACTAACTGGAAACACAGGAAAAGGAAATCTCAGCCGAGATTTGATTATAGATGTCTGGCAGTGTTTAGTGTTTGATATTCCGGTACGGGGAGATGACGGATACGTCGCCTGTGATTGTTTTTTGTTTTGCTCCTGGCCTTGTTTTTCGTCAGAGTTTAGCAGTTTTATGTAAAATAGGTACGCGCTTCCTCTTGGCTTAACAGTTGCTGATTGATGCGTCGCAATTTTAGTTTCCTCATCGGGCAGGACATCTAATTGCAGCGCGTTAGTGTTACTTTGAAGGAGTGGTGCAGCCGTGTGTTTAGATTGCTACAAGGTTTGTTTTGGCTTCGTTTATTCATCAGTTGACGCTTCTGGCTCTCGGCTCAGAGAGGCTGTGTGGAGAGCCCTGAAGAAGCCCAGCTGTGTTGTCTGATATGTTTCATCTTTAGCCCAAAGGCACTGGTCTTTGTCTTGACGCGCTGTTTTTCGTTGTACAGCATTTAATGAGCTTTACATCAACTTGAGTTCCAATATTGGATGAGTGCGCAGTGTAGATTGAATTCCTGGCGTTTTCTTTTGGCCCCGTTCATGTATTCATCTGCCGCTCTCGGTTCAGTGCACCAGATGCATGGTGATGGCAGCCTCCACTCCGGTCTGGCTTTTGGAAATGTACTGTTTGGTCTTTTAAAGTCATGTCAGCCAGTAGGAATGCACATCTACCATATTTTTCTTTGATTGATGATTGTTCATTGTACCACACTACGAATAGTCTGTGAGCTAAATTCCAAAAATGCTAATAGTCAAGTGAAGCTAATGCCAAAGTCCCAGCACCTGTAGCTAAATGTAAAGTGAAGAATTATTTCCCCTAGAGTTGTAGAGACTCATTAGATGAGTTCACTTCTTCTGATCTTGGAGGCAGCTTTGAGAATTGTTTCATGAGGGGGAATAGAAGTCAAAGAGCAGTTGGGACGTGTTTGCTCGACGTACTTCCAATCTGTGGTTTCGGCGTCCATGTGACTGAGATGGTCCATGTGAGTTTGCTTGATGTAAACTTTGCCATCTGCCCAAAATGTGTGACTGTGCAGACCGTACGCACGAGCTTTAGCTGCATGACGTCTGGTGACGATACTGTTGATGGTTTACTACAAGTTATTGTCTTGACTCCAGATTGCAAAGCAGCTTTTCCTCCACATTCAAAACACATCTGATTCATTTAGAGGAGAAGGCGCTGCAATCAGCATGTCTTTAGCAGATGAAACGGCAGAAGCTTAACTGTTATGTCCACACAGGCCCTTATAGAGAGAAATGCAGAACTAGGGCCACATTGTGAGGTAAATGGCATATTGTCGGTGTACTTATCTGGCTCGACCACGACAGCAGAGTCCCGGGAGCTCATATGTAGCCAACCTCACATAGAAACAGCTTGATCTAGTGGACTGTATACAAATTCAACTTCAAAAGAGGGCTGCAACATTAAATAACTTACAAAATTTGAATAATTCAATCTTAATTTTTTGTATATTCCTGTCAATAGAGATGCACCGAGACCTAGTGTTAGAAAGTTAAACAGTTGATAAGTCACGATTACTCTTGAGCAGCATGCATGGGAGTGAATATAATAACTGAGTGGTTAAGTAATGCGTTTACTGCTGATCCTCCACGGCTTATTTTGGACTTGTAGTTGTTGCAAATTGCGAGCTTTGTGTCTTCTTCACTCAAGTTGAAGAACTTCTAAACAACCACCCAAAAAAAAAAAGCAGAAATATGAGACTGACTGTCCAGTGAGCTGAAAATTGGCCCGTCCGATCGATTGGTGCTTATCTACCCGTCATCCAACCTCAAGGCTGCCTTGTTTGTTCATTTGTCGAAGTGTTTCTGTAATGGCCAAGTGTTTCTGTAATGGCCAAGCCTTTCTAACTTGCTAACCCTCTGCACGTCAGTTACAGCAGCAGAGCACCGTTAGTCGCCTGAAAGTTTCATGAGGGGATGGGGAATAATTGTAGTGCCCTAAATGTATAGTGCTTCACTTTCATATTCATACCAGGTGAAGCACCCTACTTTCACTTGCACTACTTTAGCGGCGGTGACGTCTGCATCTGTGCTGTCACCACATCGCCTGGTTGTGTAACAGTTCTTTGGATGCTTCCCATGTGTCTGTTGGGTGTCCTGCACCACCGCTGCACCTGACTTTCAACTCGAGAGTCTTTCATAATAGATGTGCAATGTTATTTCTGCTTCATGTCCTTCTTTACCAGACCACACACACACACACCCACCTCCCCAATTCCTTGCTATCCCCCCTCATCGCTGCAGGCATCTCCCTCTCTGAATCATGCGTCCTCTTGAGAGCACTCACCCTCTGGTGTCCCACTGTTTTCATTCTCCACAACTACTTTCACAGAGGAACCACATGTGATGTTAAGACTGCCCAGATCTTTCTGTACATTTTGTACATCTTCTCCTCTCAATCATGTATACTTACCTCAATGACAACAATATGTAACTCTTGCCTTTATCTCTGCAGGAGATGATCATCGACAAGGTGAACGGTCAGCCCGTCCCCCGCTATTTGATATACGACATCATCAAATTCAATGTGAGTAGCCCCCGGCCGTTTAAGAGTGTGTTGTCTTTCCTTTGACCCATCGCTCCTGAGAAAACCTGAGCGTCAGACATAATAAACAAACAGAACATTGGACGCGATGCGTGGTCTATCAGCAGCTCCTTCTGCCCTCTCCTTTTAATTTACTGTTAACAAGGGTCTAGTTCAGCAGAGGAAGTTGTTATTTTTTTTGCGGTGGTGGTCTATCAGCAGTTTGGTAGAATACGTAACCAGTGCAAGGTGCGACCTGTTCGTCAGGAGAAAGCTTTGATGGGATTTGCTCATCCTGAAGTCTGAATAATCGAATTCCCCGTTGGGTTCCTTCAAGGCTCTATAACAGGCAGCAGAACCGTGTTGGAGGGAAGCAGATGAATCTGCTTGACCCCCCCACACCTTGTCACGCACTAAGCTTTACTAAAGCCTTACCCGAGGCACCACACTGGGGCCGAACACGTCTCACCCACACTCGATATTTATTTATAAGCTAGGTCTTTGTGCTTTTACCACTATCATTGGTTTTGCTGAGCTCCATTGAAATGTTGTTCAATATTAATCCAAACTTTTACCATTGTCAGAGTCACTGTATTGGGTTCAAGTGAACCGGATCCTCAGTCCATTACATTGCATTATAGCTGAGCAGCAGTAATTCTCCTGCTGCGTCTGTACATAATTGGCTTTTATGTGTAACAGGATGTTTTCCCTGTTGCAGTGTAAAGTGCTTATACTGATTACGGTGATGAACTGCTTGTATGTATCAAAAAACACAGAATCATTGCTATACAAATGCTGTTTAAATATTTTGCTTACCGTAATCAAGTAGTCAGTTTACAATGTTCATTTTGGGTGTTTCATACATGACAGCGTATCGGGGGGGGGGGGGGGGAGCTTCACATTCAGTAAATTGTGAAGCTCTCGCTTTAAATACTTTATATTAATGTCAAAAATATACAAATTTCAATTTGATGGTAATCTGCATGATAAATAGATAACATATGTATATCTTTTTAATAATAATCTTGTGCTTAAAGTAATCAATTTGAGCCGGACAGATGTAATAACTAAAAGATGTTTCCACTGTATATATTATTGTGACTTGGCCATTTTTCTTGAGAGCCGCCTCAGGACAACATTAATAGGCTGTTAATTGCGAACACTTTTCCAAACAGTAAATTAATTCATCCCTTCAACCGATCCTGCGTGCTGCTAATGGCAAGCAGACCGACACGGAGACAAATGAGCCACCGGTTTGCTCTTAGCAAGCCTCAGCTGTCTGACTTCTTAAAAACTTGATGAATACCTCCGGATGAGGGGGAGGAGGGGGTTACTCCTGCCATCATGTTTGGCTGTTGCCTCCTTTTTTTTCTCCATTGATCAGGAGGATCAGACAAGCAAGCGGCTCAATAAAGGCTCCAGCGGCGAGGGGCACGTCTTTGTAAGATGGTGCAGAGGTTAGCAGCTCCACATGGCTGACCCCTCCCCGAGCCATCAGTACAGCACCGTTGTATTGATCCTAGCCGACCACTATTAGCCGTCTCCGTTATCTGTGGTGGGCTGCTCCTTGGCACCGAGACTCCATCCTAAGACCGAGGATGGAAATGCAGCAGGAGTGAGAACGCGCAACCTGCGAGGCCCATTGCCCTACGTGACACCTCACTTGTTCGGAAAGTCACACACAGCACAGCCCTGGGATTCTTTCCATTAGAGCGTGATGAGAGGCGTGTGACCTCTCGCCACGATTGGTGATTTAGCCGCGAGTGAAATGGTCAGAGTTTACTTAGCTCCGTGGATGAATAAGTGTCAGCATATACTGTGCTGTTCCTGGCAGAGCAGTTGATATTCCTGGTCATAATTCAGTGTTATTCTGTCGAGAGTAGTGATGTGTAGAGTACCTCTGCGACCATATACCCGACTGAACCTGACTATTACCGTGAGACATGGAGGGAATCTATTTCTGCGCTCGATGCAAAGTATAAAAAAAGCTTTTTTTTTTCTCTCTCTTTCTGGAAAGTTGTTGCAGCTCGTCAGTCCCTGTCAGCTCCCCCACTGTGGGCGAACTGACAAGATGTGATGAAAGCACAACAACAATTACATATTATGTCATTAATTTTGACATTACTGTAGAAAAGCTATTATCTAGAAATAAAACTGTGGAGGATTTCACTCGACATCACCGTCAATGTCCCGACACTTTGATTGACCTCGTTGTTGTTTCATGTCGCCAAAATAAATCTCACCTTAGGTGCAGAGTTCGACAAGAGAATTGTCTCAATCACGTTAACAGCTGAGCAGAAACGCTTATGAAAAATCCCCAAAGGAACCGTACCTTTGGAGGTATAGAGTGCTTTACTGATTTCAGCCCCAATTACTTCCATTTGAGAAGTTTGTCTGCAGCTACAGTCTGCAGCTCTGCGGGTCTTTTCCACCCTAAGAATAGTCTCTGGGCTACATCATTCCTTTTGAAACCGACAGCTCTTATGACGCACTGCAGATACGAAAAGGTACGAGTTGACAGGTCAACACTGGTGCGAAGGTATTATTGCTCTCTAGCCAGTGAACACCACCAGTGTCTAACAATGGCTTTACAGGAAACGTAAAGGTCGTTTTTTTAATTTGCTCATAAATTGCAACACATCCTTGTTACTCTGCGGGGACATTCATCCGCATTCTATTCTGTGATTATCTACACCAGTCTTTCATGTTGAGCATGTGTTGGGACAAGTGAAGATTGATTACGGAAAGAAGGTGGTTATTATGGGGATATAATGTAGCTGAGTGGGCAGTAATGCTCTCTATTTGATCACCTTAATTGCCTGAAAATGCAACACTGTTAGTGGTGTGCACTGCATTATCTATAGAATACTAATGTGATTCCTTATCAACCCCTACCACTGGTTGCAACTATGTTCAAACACAGTGATCTGACAGCTCATTGCTGTGTGTAAAATGCATTTCCTATACTCTTTTTGAACTCATTCTGAGACTGAGAGGTAAGCCCAGCTACCTATTTAAGTAAGTGACTCGTAAAGGAGCAGAAAAAGTAGGCTACAGGGAAGTCATAGAAATAACAAAGAAATATAGTATGTAGAAATATGTATGTGTGTGTGTATATATATATATATATATTTGTATCTGTCTAAAGATACTGCATGTGCATTAGCTTGGACGCTATGATGCAAATTGATGCATTATGTGGTTATAAACAGTTTCAGGCCAAAACAGCCTGAAAGCCTTTTTGAAAAGAAAATAATAATATCCCAAAGGAAGCTGCACATTAAGCTTCTGTTGAGTGGTCCCAGCACTGATTTTGTCAGTGTCGTATAATGTAATTTATTCCAAATCATCCCAGAAAGTCGCACAGATTTTAATGCTTATTCCCAACACTGTCAGATTTCTCTTTTTAACGTGTTATTTTGCCGTATTCTTGAGGGCATCCGTCAGCCTCTAGAGCCTCACACTGAAGAAGGCTTTATTCCAGATTCTGCTGCTCTCTGGTTTTTAACATTGAATGACTATATAGTATCTATATATCGATTCTTTATGCACACAGTTCAATTTACCCATTATAGGGGTTATGTAGGTAATGCACTGAATCGTTCCTTGTTGGACTTGAATACAATTTTTTGACTCTTTCCATTTATGATAAATGCATCTGTTGATTCATGTTCCATAATATAATATTCAGTATTTTTCGAATCTTTAAAATGGAATTTGGAAATGTGAGCTTTGCAGTGCATGTGTAGTAATTGGAGGCAATCTAGGCGGTGGTGTCCTCGGGCGAGCTGCACTATCGGCATCGGAGCAGATCAAGGCATTTCTTTAGACATTAGTATCGGTTCCTGTATACAAAGCCTTTCCTGTTGCTTGTCAAAAATGGTGCAGTGTGCTCCGTTGAAACTCTGTCTCTGGTGTAGCTCAAACCCACAGTGATGACATTAAGTCAAAGTGTAGCAGCACAAACGAGTAAATGGCAGCTATCGAGACGTATTACCTTCTGAGGTGATTTCACTGATACGATCGGTCTTTATTCACGGAAATGTCGGATTAACAAGATTCTTGTCGTCTGTATTTTTACTGTTGAACAGGCGTGGACAGCACATGCCTTGAATCATCCACACTTACATCTTGTTCTGTCCCGATGACACGGCTGACAGACGGTGCAGAATGTGTGGGACATGACACCAGCTGTTGCTCCAGTAGAATATAACGTGATTACTTTTTTCAGTTTTTTTTTGCAGTCACACTGAAAAAGAAAAACAAGTCCTCAAAGTGATGCCTAATTGAGACTTTCTCAAACTTCGTTATAGAGTTATGACTGCATTGAGCGAGTCGGATTGACTCTGAAACAGAGACACAATCATGGCATACTGCTCGATTATCATGTCGTTATGGCTAATGTGTTGGGCATGTGTTGGGAACTTGGGCATCCCAAAAGAGTCATATCGGGCCACCTGATGATTGCTAGTCTAATATCTTTTCTATCTTTAACTGTTTTGGACCATAAACTTCTTAAGTGGATTTAATACTCAATTTTACTTGGGCTTAAACAAATTGTTGAGTCCAGAAAATAGTGAAAATTGCTCTCCACCCTTATTTTAGAGCCCAAGCTGTCGTCTTGAAGTTGTATTTGTATTCAGGCCATTCAATTTATAATAAAAATTAATTAGGCTTGTTTTTTCCACACAGGTGGCACATTCGTGTTTTCTGTGGTTATATATAAAAAGTAGTTGGTTGAAGATGTTTTGTCATTTTTAAGGTTCAACATTGTACTTGCTTACATAAGACTGCTCTGATGTTTTTTTACTGCTTTGTGTAATATCTGTATGACTCACAGGACAGTACAGTCTATTAATTGTATCTAATCTTAACTAATCATTGGCCGTCCACCTCCTCATCCCCGTTGAAAAGGAATGGTTTCCCTCCCCCTGTGGTCCAGTAATCCCATAGAAGGCTCTCGAGAAAAGAAGTGGCATTTACCAAACTGTAACCGAGCAGAATACAAATTCCCCCAAGTCACAACTTCTTGCTCGGTGCCTCTCAATATAGATCAGGAAATATTGATCCTTAAACCACTTGTGTCGGCACAATAAAGGTGTAACTGTTTCACTCTCTTTTTTTTTTATGTTTTGGAAGAGGGTAAAAACAACACACAAAAATGCTAAATGTCAACTTAGCAAAAGAAGCCAAATGTTTGTTTGGTTTCCCTCCCAGTGTTAAACACACAGCTTTGAAGAAAGGTTTACAATAGAGCTGCAACAGGTCGTCGATAATTGGTTAGTCCATTTTCATAATTATTTCTATAGTAATGTTTCAACAAAATCCAAATAATTTGCTGGTTCGAGCTTCTCGTATGTGATGCTTTGTCTGTCTAATTAAAATAATTGGGAGATAAATCTGGAATGAAAATAATACCTCATTGTAACCATATCTTACAGTGACCATTACATGTAAAAGCATGCACACAGCAAGTAAAACATGTAGGGGTAAATAAATGAGAAGGAATCTGATGTGTTGACATTTTTGTTAATAATTACCTGTCAAAAATGTATAAATACAAAATCTAAATAGTTGATTAAGTCAATATAATTTACATAGATGAGAATGAGAAATGAAGGGTCTTAAGATTGATCCCTGAGGAACTCCAAAGGAAAGCATCCTATAGCCTGAAGAAACATTTTTCCATAAATGTTTCCATTCTGTTTTCCCATTCGCGAATATAATGCTTCCTTTTGTAATCATATATTATACTTAACTGTGTAAAATACCTTTTTAATAATGTCGTTTTTAATCAAGGTCTTTATTCAAAGGGGCAAAGAGTTACCTTTTTAAAGTCATCAAGAAAACATCCAGTTTGGGAGAATGATTTGAAGATGCACGGAAAGCATTTTAAAATAGGCTTTTCTGTTCATCATGGCCCGGTGACGTAGAGAGCATTTGCCTCTCATCAGTTTGTCAGCCTCTTGGCAGCAAAAGAAATGGCAGCTTGGTTGTTGAGTTTGAGCTCCTTCTTTTCCTTTCCGATAACTTGTGACAAAATATTAAATGTCAGATTGTTGTCATATATTTAGTCCGTGTCCATCTGGCAATATTGATAAAAATATTGTTTCTTCTACTTTTAGGTTTCTTTTTTTGTGTTGATAAAAGTGAGTCAATTTTCCAGCCAAGTTTGTTTATCGATAACTAGAAGCTGGCTGGCGTCGCCGGCTGGCGTTGCTGGCTGGCGTCGCAGGCTGGCTGGCGTCGCCGTTCTTATCTTTTGAGAACAACTGTGTGTGGCTGGCCAATGATGGGAGGAAAAAATGATTTCACTGCACTGTGTACTTTCGGTGTTAACAGTCCCATGAGCTCAACTGATGTCACGGTCTTGTTGGTTTACTGTAGGCACCTGCATTCTGCTCACCTATGGTGCAGCTATAAATATGAGCTGTATGAAGAGACTTACAGTTTTATATTCATTCTATGAGGATGTTATTGTATACCAACATTTTATCTTTCTTTATTGACTAATTGATTTGTCCTTTGCTCCATAAAATGCCACAAAATAGTAAATGGACATCATTTTCTCATCAAAAATGTATCCTATCAAAATCTAACGAAAGACAAAGGAACCAGAAATACTCACATTTGAACCAGATAGTTTTGGTTTTGGGCATTTTTACTTTTTTTTTAATCACAACAGTAATTTTTATTTTCTGTCAACCAACTCGTCTTTTCATCTTCAGCGCTCATCCTGTTGCTCATCACCATGTTCCCAAATGTCCGGAATAAAAAGGATTCCAACAAAAAGCTGCATTAAATATAACTTAGAGTTGGTGTAGATGTCTATTTGTCCACTTTTTTAAAATATCTGTCTTGTTATGACTCACTAAAGTATTTTTTTTAGATAAACAATGTTGCCATGGCAGAGAATTGACTGCTCATTATTTTGTAAATAATTTTTCCATAAGTGATTTAGTATGTACAGTATGTTAATGTAATATTGGAGGCAGTGCACAGTGCAGTCTAAATAAAGACTATACTGTATTTTATTGATTGTATTTATATTGAAATGACATTTCTTTATCTTTATGTCAAAGACTACACATAGTTTTCATGCACGTGTGTCTAAATAAGTTCCCAGGTTGCATTAAGTGACGACTGAGTTTGTTTTTTGTGTTTCAGGGACAGCCTGTCGGACAGTGTGATTTCAATATCCGGCTGTTATGCATAGAAAAGGAGATAATTTCACCCCGGATGGAAAAGATGAAGATTGGACAGATTGACAAAACCAAGGAGCCCTTCAGTGTCCGAAATAAACCTTTCTTTGACATTCATGCAGCACGGAAGGTAACGTGAACAAAAGCATCCTTTTCACTTTCTTACCCATTTTTCTCCCCATTTATTTCACAGATGTGACCAAGCTAAAACACACAAAGATATTAAAATACACATAACTCCAAATTATTACCACTATCTCATATACAAATGAAATTTGTGATTCGATAATGTCTCAGTTGAGCCAGAGAGAGAGCAATTGAAAGACGTCTATATGAACCAGTGTCTTGTAGTCAGCACAATCTCACCCACAATAGGGAGACTGGCCTCCTCCTAGAGCCAGGCCTACGGTTCTTTACCCTAAAAGATGCTGGAGAGGACATTGAGGTTTGTATTCCCGGAGTGAGAGCTCAGTGTTCGTAGACTTTGAGCTCCACCAAGATTTAGTCACAGATTCTTCCTTTAGGAACTAGCTGGAGGACCCAGTTTCTAAATGTCTTGTTCTGGGCCGTCAACAAGTCGCTGCTGTGTAGCTAATACCTCTAACAGCCCATCAACTGTCATGGTGCTGTTTGCTGTATTAGGTATCTTTTACTGGTCAAACACATTTCTTGAGCCAATTGTCAGTGATTGCCTCCTCCTATATCTTTGCCTCTATCTGTGTGAATACATGTTGATTAATAAGTTAATGTGAAAAAAACGTCATAGGAATAAAGCATTTTTTATGTTAATTCCCTTACTTTCTCTGGACTATTTTGCTTCAGATTGTTTTTTGTTTTTTTTGCATTTTCCATCTAGTAGAAAAGAAATGACCACGGCTCATGTTGTCGTACTGTGCTGTTCACAGGCTGAGGACAGCAGAGCTTTTATCCTCTGAATAGCCGTTAAGCCTTCCTCAAAGGCCTGCACTTGTGCCCTAATACCAGGCCTGTGGGAGGTCGGAGCACGATTAATTTGATGTTTTGGTCGAGCCAAGATCAGTTGGGGAATCTTGGCACTGCACACTCGCAAAAGATCAAAGTATATGAAGAGCGGGTGAAGCTTTAGACATTTCTTGTGTTGTGGTCGCATGTGGTGTTTTTGTACGTTGTTAAATTCTTAGTATGAATAGTTGGGCTACCTCTGGTCTAACCCTGGGCTGCCCGCTCTTCCCAAGAACTTGTATGAAAGATTGACCCCCAAAGCTCAGATGGGGATGTTGATGAAGATACTCTCGGAATTAAGTCACCGGAACTATGTCTGGTTTCTGACTGCTCTATTGTTTTGTGCAGCTGCCATCTGCTGCCCATACAGTCATATCTCTGTTGTATGGGACATTAGAAGAGGGGGAAACTGGAATCTGGCTTATTGATTCATAGCAGCACAGCCCTCCACTTCATGGCATATCAACCAGAAAGTCCTTTTCAGGAATATTTCTGTCACAGACTGGAGTTGTATGATGGCTTTTGTCTTTGGCTAGGCTGCTATTTTTCAGCTCAGACACTTACACATGCATGTCGCCATTTCCCACCAATTGTGACCATTTATTCTTTATGCTTCCTCCACTTGTCCAATTATCGAACAAAGACCCCTTTTTGTCCGACAGAAATTCTACATTGGGGCAACCAGATAAGACATTTTGGAATTTCCCCTTTGTCTAGGTTGAATGGAGTTGTCTGGCAAAATACATTTTGTGGATATAATAATTCTGCATTTGATGGCACTTGGTACTCAGTTGGTGCTGTCTGTTCCACAGTTAATTGCTTTTTGCATATTTAGTTCTGTACCTATGTTTCAGTAATGGATGCGTTGTCTTTGAGATGGGTGTTTTTTATCTGATGTGACCCTCACTTACAGTACGTACTCTCAATGCGTACACTACCCGCTGAAAATCATGAACCATTTTAAATGCCCAAATGAAAGCAAATAAAATGGATAAATAATGTAAAACACACTTCACATTTTTCTATATTTGCTTTTTATTTGTGTCATAATTAAATGAAAAAAAAAATATGTATGCAGATTAGTAAATAACATAGAATTGTATTTGCATTTGTTTTTATTCAATAACTGGATGAATTGTTCTGCTCAGAGAATTGGTCCTCTTGGCAATTTCTTTAAAATTCAAATACGATCTACTTTAATTCCAGGTTGTATTGTAACAACATATGAAAAGCATTAAGGGGGGAATGTTCTCTGTATATGTAACATCTTAAATTGGATTACTTACTTTTCACTTCTTGAAAATGAAACTTTCGTCAAAGTGTACCCTGTTCGAATAAGCCTAACCTTTGCAGAAAGCATACAGTCATTAAATGTAACTCATATTTAATAGTCACAGTTGATCATTTTAAAATTACAAAACGAAATTAGATGGTATTAATTTGTCCTTGCTCGTTACAGAATATCTAATATTCCTCGCTCATTTATCATATTTCTATAGAAAATGAAACCGGTATCTGGAGTTGAGCCGAGGCCATAGCACACCTCCTCCCCGGATGACTTCAGGTGACAGACTGAGAGTAGATCTCATCTTGAAATACCCTTTTGAACTGAGATTGAAAACTGAGACTTTTGTAAGACTGCAGTGTTTTCATGGAGCTTGAACCTAATCACGGCGGGTGAGATAAAGGTTTAGAGAGTATGTACTGAATACAAAATAATGAAATCTCGCTGATGTGTGTTATTGCTGAGTGCCTATTTTGTTTGGTAAACTGTTAGTTATCTTGTCCTGAGAGCCACTTTGCTGCTGCCGTTTCATCAAAAGAATATTATCTTGTAAAACTGGGACGAAGTAGTGAAAAAACTCGTATCTTGACTGCAGCCTGTGGACTTGACAGGCACTTTGTCTAAAATGTGTTTTGAGTGACTGGTTAAGGATGCCAAGATGCTCCACAGAGCAGTTCAGCAAGGCTTTTGTTGGGAAACTTTTGAATGACATTTAATACTGCCCTTTCTTTTGTGTTAAATGTATTGTATTTTTCTTTTACTTCATATATATTGCCTTTCTTATTAGTCCTCTTTTTTAGTGTGCCTCTTGTGGTTGGCTTTTATTCAATAATTGATTGATTGTATTAAGATATTGTTTTTCAATTTAGTGGCTGAGCACTAATGTCCTCGTGGCATATCTGAGTTTTTGTGTTTGTTACTAGTTGTTGTTGTGGCAGTATGTCTGATATATGTTGTGAGCCGTGGCCTGTCTGACATGAGCTTCTTTTGTAATTTGTCACAGTGACCAAACTGGTTTCCCCCTCTAGAGGTGAATAGTTTGTCTAATATAATTCAATTGCGACCTACCTTTAGGTTCTTTGCTAATCATTTCCAGACTATCCGGACATTTTGCGATTTCAATTTTCTGATTGTGTGTTCCCTGATAGAGTCCTACTCATTCCGTGCCAAGCTTGTGGTTCGGTTGAAGCTTATCGTTATCTACATCAAGGTCTCAGGCTTATCGCTCATATAATAGTCGTGTGTTCTGTGTCACGTGTGGCCCTAAGGCCGACATACGACAGGGTGGCAGAATTAGAGCAGAGATTTTAAGCTAACACCGGAAAGTCTTGATGTGAGTTTAGGTCTGTCACGATGACTACTTTTGTTGGATCATATATTGTCCCAGAAATAATTTCAATATTATTGTAAATATTATGTACTTTGAGAGGTGTGCCACAAATGGAATCCAAAATCGACACCATTACATTTTGAGTGTAAATCTCAGCGTGCACGGCAGCTCAGTCCTTCCTTCGGGCCTAAGTGTTGATCCCAGACAGTTTATCGAGTAACTTGAATAACAAGACTCCATACCTGACTCCCCTTGCTCTCCAGTGGGCTCAGTCGTCATTAACGGACCTTGAATCCATGTAAACGTCCCCTCATGGTCCTTCTCTTGTTGCTACAGCCAGATCTCAAGAGTCTTGCTTTTTGCAGGTGTATAGCGACCAGCCCAGATAAAACATGTCTCATTAGCGGAGCGCTGTCAGTCTGCAGGTTTCCCTCTTGCTCACTGACCTCACACCTCTGTCAGCTGTCGAGTCTGAAAAGCATGACCTCGGGTCTCCAAAGTCTCCTTTATGCGTCAGGCTTTGGCATTGTGCTGAATCTGAGCTCGATACCTGATCTAGTTTGTGGCGAATCCACGCCTCCTTCTTTGTCAGCTCAAATACAAATGAAGATGCGAGTTTCTGTCACTTCACAATATTGTCATAAACCTTTCGCTAGCGAATGACACAATCTGCCTCATTGACCTGTAAACCTACAGCGTCTTATTTGTTATAATTAACAGCAGAATGTGGGAAACTGCTTCGGCGGGGAAAGATAAACATCTCTTGTAGCACAACTGCTGTCCTACTCAGTTTGAGAAATACACTGCAAGTAAGGCATCCCTCTGCCTTGGTGCTACACCAGTCCTCCACTGTAAGGTTCAAGAACACGCTGCTCTTCATCACCTGCATCCTCTCTCTCTGCTGCTGCACCCACACACAGAAGGAAACATGTTGATGGTTGTATAAGGGCTTGGGATGCTTGGAAGAAAACACAACATGGGCTCGATGACTAATGTTTTTATTTATTTTTTTCAAAGCCTCCAAGACATTACGCAACATCTGATGATGCGCAGCACATCCATACAGTAACGGTCTGATTCACTGGAGAGCAAGCGCGTGGAGATGTGGCAGGCACCGAGTGGAGCGGCTCATTCTATTTGTTCTGCTTGCCGGCTCTCGTCGTGCCCTCCAAGGAAGGGAACAAACATCCTGTGTTTCAGGTCAACAGGTGTTTTTCATTAGATGTTCTTTGGACTTTATTCTGCTTTTGTTCACCTACTCTGTCTTCAGTCTGCTGTATGTCTGTTCTGTTTGTCCCATTTTGGGGATGACATGACATCCTTGCTCTCCTGTTTTGGAATAAACAGCACTGCTGCCATAATAATACAAATCCACATACTTTTTTACTGGAATGCTTCTTGTTCAAGAAATGTAATTTTAATCATTTCTGAGTTGTGCTTATTTTATAGTCAAACTTCTTCTCGTTTTTTTATGTAAGGATATATAAAATACAGTGATACTATTATGCTATTTTCAGTGGTTAGTACATTTATG